TAAACATTGTGTGAGTGGTGCCTAACAAGAAAACATGACCAAGAAACTAAGATATCCTTTTTCAACGTATCCTTTCCTATGATACCTTACGAAAAGTCACTCCTTACTTTTAGTGTGTTTTCCTACGAAAGTCCAGCGACACATGTCAAATTCCACTTGCCTTCAAAGGACACAAGAGTAAGGTTAGACACAAAAGTACTTGGTTTAATTTAGCAATAGATCGCGAAATAATTCGTTAGGTTTAGGAATAGATCGCGATATACTTTGTTAGATTTAGAAAAAGATCGTGAACTACTTGGATAGGTTAAGGCAACAAAACTACTTAGGTTTCGGAAAAGATCGTGAAATACGAAGTTAGGTTTAGGCAACAAAACTACTTAGGTTGAGGAAAAGATCGTGAAAAACGTAGTTAGGTTTAGGAAAAGATCGTGACATACTTAGTTAGGTTTAGGCAACAAAACTACTTAGGTTGAGGAAAAGATCGTGAAAAACGTAGTTAGGTTTAGGAAAAGATCGTGACATACTTAGTTAGGTTTAGGAAAAGAGCATGCAATACGTAGTTAGGTTTAGGAAAAGATCGTGAAATACTTAGTTAGGTTTAGGAAAAGAGAGTGGAATACTTAGGTTTCCGCAAGAAAACTACTCAGGTTTAGGAAAAGATCGTCTTTTTGGTTAAAATAACACAACGTTGACTTCTCGTTTTACATGATGAAGGAACAGCAGTCTACTAGCTGAAAGATCATTGGATGTTGGACCCATCATACTCCCCTCACGCCGGCCCTGTGCGGGGTTTTGGGTTCAAAACACTTCCTCGCTCATGATTACATGCATAACATTCAAAATGATTTCAAGGCGTACCTACGAATTACAACGCATTATTATTCTTCTGGATGAGATTTTTTTTTTTCAATAGCTCAACCCTTTTAGTATTGGCGTCCACAATCTTCAAGCTGATGTTTTGAGGGCATGATCACGTTGCCATTCTCCTTCATCTGCCCTCTGTCACTGCACTTCACCCCTCCAACTTCTTCAAGGTGGCTCACCCTTTGACTCTTGTGCTGAACTTCAAAAAGCCTGTGTGTGCTGATTGGAAGGGGTTGGGCTGTGGGACTATGGAGCTGGAGGGGGGCTTTCGGTGTTTCGGTGTGGGCGGGGGCCCCTGCCTGTGCAGTGACCCACCGCTGGGGCCACAGCAGGCCCTCTTCCAGCCAGCAGCCCCAGCCATTGGCTCGTTGGAACTAATCCACCCTGCGGAGCCCTGTAAGGCCCCCTTTGTTCCCTCCTGCAGACTAGATCAGGCTGGAGACAGACACGCACGGTCTTGACTGGCTATCGGTTTCACAGCCCGTGGCGATCCACATCCAGGCTCAGGCCCCAGCGCCGGCCAAGCCACCGTCAAATTAAAGGTGGGAGAATGGGGGGAGAGGGCTGGGGGTAGGGTTGCGGGGGAAGGGTGCGAAATTGTGTCACCTGAATTCCGTCACAGTCCGAAATCACGGCGGAAAGGTGGTCTGGTGTGGGAGAGGACAAGTGGGAGGGAAGGAATATAGGAGAGGAGGATTTCAACAGGAGCTCTGCCTCTCAGTGAATAGAGAGGGATCTCAACAAGGCCATTATCTGGCTCCTAATTTGAGCTCTGGCGCAGCACTGAAGGGCTGCCTTTGTCTGGGATTAATGCGGAAAGCTCAGGATGCGATGTCAGAGGGAAATAATCAGCATGGGCCCTTCATAACGTTGGCTGCTTGTGCTCCTGGCCAGGGCCCCCCGGCTCATTTCTGTGGAGATGAAATCTATGACAAGCCCCTCAGTGAAGCTAAGAGCAGGCAACAGTCCAGTAACACCCACAGGCCTCCAGGCATCCTGTGACCCCCTTAGAAAAGTCACATTCACTTTGCTCTGGAGAAGGGAAAGAGAACGCCGCGGGCGCTTCCAGCCCATGTGAAATGAAGAAATGTGAGGAGGTGAAAACGAAGTGAAAATAAGTTAAGATTCCTCCTCCGCCCCCTCTGCGATCACTCCGGAGGAGGGGCACGCTGTGTCTTCACTTCATTATGCCCCTCTAATTAAACATGAACAGGACATTTAAAGAAGAAAAAAAGGGATAGAATAGAGAAAAAGGACAACAACTCAAGCATGATGTATATTCATGTTTATGTTGTATAACTGCATTTGGGAGAGCAGTTTGAGAAAGCAGCTTTTTTTTTTTTTTTTTTGTTGAAAGCAGCATAAGGTCGCGGGCTAATACCCATCAGGGTAAAACATCCTGAAAGAGGTTGCCACTGCACTCAAGGACCAGAAGTAATGCTTTTATTTTGTTATTTATGCTTTTTTTACCGAGTGCATTGCTATGCTCCTCTGCAGCATATTGCTGCTAAGCGAAGGATGAGAAGATGCAACTCGATAAGCGGGTTATTAAAATGACCAATTGACATTCAAAATTCCGGCTTATTTTAGATTCATCATATTTACAGATGAATATGTGGAATTTAAATGTTTTTTTTCGCCCTGCCGCCTCAAGGAAAATGCGACTTGGTGCAGCAACTGTGCATGACTTCATGTATGGCTTTGTGCTGGAGAAATACGATACTCAAGCCACTGCTTTTCCTCAAACAGTAGACGGCTCTTTACAATGCCGCCGTTCGGCTTAATTAAGAACAGACCAGGCAAGTCACATGGGAGTAGGTCACCACGCTCCATATGCAGATATTTCCGATCATCACCAACTTCATTAGTTATTAGACAGATTCCTAAACTTGAGGATCCTTTAAGAGGATATGTTGGTTTGGGAATACAATGGTCCTCAAAACTTAAGCCTTGGGGGAAGGGAGGCCAACAAAGAACCCCGTTCAGAAAAACAAACCCGCTCCCTGGTGCCTCCACAAATGTATCGGCTATTTCAGATTCGTTCATCTTCACCCATTTTGTGGATGACTACACATGGGAACAATGGTTCAGAGGGCTGCACGCCGTGTCGCCAGCACAACAGTGCACTTCACAGCTCCCTCACCAAACAACCCCAGTTGTGGATACACACAATCAGCTCCACTCTGTGGCGAATATGAACGGCAGAAATGGAACCAAATTCTCAGTTGGAGATTGGAGATCTGTGGCCACCCGGCAAAATATAAACATAAACGCGTTTGAAATGAAATGAAGGCGAGGCATCACTTCATATCATCTGAGTTGTTATTATTAATTTGAATAATGTCACTTGGTAATAGTTTAATGGAGGATGATACTAACCAACCACTGTGTCTTCTTATAATAATTCACGGTGTAGCAGCTCATGCACTTTTCCCCAAAATGTTTCTCTATTTTCTCTTGGCTGAGCTGGTATCTAATATGGCTTATTCTATATCTTATTTGGGTTCTTAAAACTAGCTTTGGTAATCTGGAGAAATTAGCAAGAGTACGCTAGATTTAAAAAATCATCCAATCAAACAACCAAGCCCACTGTCGCCAACTCTTTTCCAATGAAGGTAGCTAGCAGCATTAGATCCAAAAGTTGGCTAATCTGGCGAGAAAGTCACCAAGTCAGCAAAACTGACAGGCTGACCCTTCAGGCCTCCCTCCAAAGCAACTCCCCCAAATTTATCATAGTGAACGTAAACAAAGAACATGGCTGATGTTGGTACTCACAGCTGGCAAGCTAGCAGCTTGCGGAAGACTGATGACGAGCAATGACTGCACGGGGCAGAATACGTGAAGGCAGGCAGGTAGTCCGCCCAATCTTTACATTCATGTTGAATGAAGTGATTGTATGGCCATATTACAGTCCTGCGACAGCCACAGACACTAGGTTTTTTCTTTTTACACAGACTCAATCAATCAACCAATTATTTATTTAGTTACCATTATTGTTGGAGTACAGGAACAAATATATCATTGTGTAGTTACAGTTATCATTTTTATCCTCTCACAAGTTTATTTTAGTTAACATTCGAGCCTCTAACATGTCAAACTCTCAGTGTTTACTACTTGACAACGGAATAGCCAGCCAAAGAGAAAACTGCTAGAGAGGTTAGGATCACAGTCCCTCGGCGAGTTTTAATTGTATTTCCAACCTCCATGTCTTGTTGTGTATTCTGACATCTTGACTTCATTTCAAATAAATTATGTAACTTGAAAGAATTAGGAGCTTAAATTGTGGGTTCACCTCTAAAATATGGTTTTTACAAGTATTATTTTGAAAGAGGCAGAAAGCTAGAGTCGGTAAAACAAGGGTTCCACATAAAGTAAGCTAAATTATCAGGGAGCCTTGGGAAATAACTAAACAAAAAGCAGACTGGTTGTATATTGGGCAGCCAGCAAATCTGACTGTGGTTTTGCCTCATCTCCAACTACAATACCACAACCTATTGTAGATTATTGATTAATTGTCCTAGGGGCTATGTCGGTCACTGTACGTCAGGGACTCTTTCAGACTACCACAAACCTTGACCTGGAGGATTCTGTGTAAAGTGACTGAAGCTCAGCACAGTTATTAGATTGAGGAGAATATCCTGCATTAAAAAACAAAAGTGTCTTTGCATAAGCTGCCGGAATTGGAAACCACTGCTCTACCTGCAGTAATGGATTTATATTCCTTATTCACCGACTTAGAGAAAGATATTCAGTGACTCATTGTTTTAGCATATCCAGCAACCCTCCATGTTTGAACTTAGTACAGTCAGGGATGACATGGCCATGGAAATTACCATTGAAAGCTGTCTACACAAAAAATACACTGCAAGACAGAAAAGCTGAGAAATGCAATATATTGGATTACAGTATTCTTTGGAGGAAGCCCAGTTGGTAGGTTGTCATTGACTTTGTTGTTATAGCATTAGCAGCAGGGTGGTAAGACAGCCAGGCCAATATGTCATCGTCACAGATGCGCTGAAGAAAAACTGTCAGAAAAGATTTCCACAAACGTCAACGGTGAAAATGGTGTTATCAAGTCAACGTTAGCAGCTAGATCTGGACCAACGCAGCCATCGAGTGAGTCTACTTCTTCTTACCTCGGTCCCTGATGGGGTTGTCCCCGGTGAATCCACTTTACGCTTCTTGCGGGGTCCAATGGCTGCTAGTGCTGTGAGGTTGGCGTCTCGCTGCCTCATCTGCGCCAGTTCCTGTTGCTGCATCTGGTGAAGATGACACAAACGGTTAGAAAATACCCTCTGCGCTATATGTGGTGTGGTGTTGCCCCAGTATGGCACTGGCATCTGTTTGGGTTTGTGAGTACGTCGCGTGTACGTTATCGATACCCAACGCCAACCCGACAAATTCAAGAGCACTCAAAACAGGAAGTGAATTTTACACCAATATTTACAATCCTTGATTAATGTACAAATCTATAATATGTCCGGTATGTGGTGGCTTTTGTAGATTACAATGCCTCAGTCTGCATTAACCAAATACGTAACAAACATTCACAGCAAAAATCTGTGGTACTGAACTGCCATAAGCGCCATTTTTTTACTTGGTCGTTCTGATGGTACCTAACTCCAAGACACTGCTTCCTTGTTCCGTACACGATAATAACACGAAGCTGCACAATACCATTTACTTGTAGACACACGGGTAACTTTTAAGATATCCAGATTTTAAGCACATTTGCCACCAAACATTTGTCACATTTTAGAGCACTGCAATGCCTTGCTAGAAAGAATAAGCAATGAGACAAGAGCAGGATCAAAAGCAGAAGTTGAAACATCCCTCTTCTTCCCTCTATCTGTCCGTCCGTGTATTGTATAACCTCTCCTGAGCCAAACAAAATGGAAGCCTGTTGTCAGCCATTAACAGAGCTTCTGTCAAAGATCGAGAGTGTGTGTGTGTGTGTGTGTGCAGTCACACGGTCCCATTGTGATTTTTGCAGTTCGCGATATATAAAGGGGGAGTTTGTGGGGAGGCACCGCCTGAGGTAATGTCATGTCTGGCCGCGGGCAGAAGGGGGGGGGGGGGGGGGGGGGGGGGGAAACCAAGCATCGCTGCGAGCTGCCCTTTCTATTGGGTGGATGTGTGAGGGCCCGGGGCCATGGCACAGAGGGTGTCAGCACTCCCTCCAACATGCAAACACGGTATACACACACACACACACACACACACACACACACACACACGCACGTGCCTATCAATCTTGGCCACAGCACAGGGAATGCCTACCCACCAGCTTGCCTACGTGCCTGCCCGCCGGGGGAGGGAGAGAGAGAGAGAGAGAGAGAGAGAGAGAGACCCGGGTTGAAGCAAACAGGGACAATCAATGTGCGCTTTCATGTCTTTCATGTTCTTTTTTATGTTATCTCTCAGCATGTGTGCGCCGGGCACTGGGGTTTGTGAGAGGCACGTGTGTTGTCTGATCGGTGGGGGGGGGGGAAATTTCATGTTACTTTCAGATGGCGCTCGGTTAAAAGGTTGCTTTGGTGTATAAAGTCTGATCTAAAATGTGCATGCAGTTGCCTCTGATGGGTTTTTTTCTCTAAAAAAAAAAAAAAAAACCCCCCCGGCGAGGCATGCCCTTTAGGGTGTTGCCACTTCACATTTAGCACGGCAGAACTGTTGAAAGATTCAAACACGCTGACGACACAAAGTAGGGGGGGGCTGAGCGTCTGAAAAATCTCGTTCATGTGTCCGATTTTGAAAGCAGACGGTGGTGAAAATGCATGAACTGAAGCTAAAACAAATACTAGTTAGTGGCAGTGGTACATGAGGCGATTAGAGCTGGGAATTGGGCTCTCAACAACACTATGTGAATGGAGACAGAAGCTGATGCGGCTAACAGGGTGGAGATGACTATTTCCCCCTGTCCACATGGCAAATGTAGCATCAATGCTATCAATGCTAACCTTATTAAGCTTTGCCACAAACAACACACAAATCTCTCCAGGCCTGACCTTAAAGCAGAGTGAGCTGAGAGAGAGCTGAGAGAGAGAGAGAGATGAGAGAGATGAGAGAGAGAGAGAGAGGGAGGTCCGCTATCTCCCTGATGGCACCAGGATGCCGGCATCTCTGCCTGGCAGTTGGCACCAGGCATGGCCTCCCGGCAACTGCCTGCGTTCTCAGATTTATGACTGTATGATAAATGACGACTTCATTTCGCCATCTGCAACCCTCCCAGTCTGCGTTTCCAGTCGGTAAAAACGGCCAGCCGTGACACCGGGGAGACTGATTTCTGATTTCAATCTGGTACCGCTGCGCCGAGTCTACCTTTCCCTTTTTTTTTTTTGTTTAATGGCCGCCGACTGATACGAGCCAGATTTGGGCCGGGCTTTGATGGATTTCGTTTTCCCTTCAGGGCCTTGTTTTGAGCAGCATTTAATTCAAACATGTACATAAAAGTATGTTCGTCGAGGCACACACAGGTGTACGAGTGCTATGAAGTAGTAGCAGTAGCTATGAAGGAATGTGGGCACCTTGAAAACTGTTCCAGTCCTTCGTCATCAACTGTCCTGAGCTCTAAAGGGTTTGTTGAGATTTAGGCAAGAATATCTCCCTACCTTCTAGACCAAAATGTTGACAACACAAATCCAAAATCCGTAAAGGTCACTGCAGAGATTCATCCCTGACTGGAGGAGTAACCGGCTGGCGGAGTGCATACATTTGCCAGGTCCGATCAATGGTACCGCATAAATATCTGCCGTTGCGAAGTCGCTTAAATACCAGTGCTTCCAGTCTGCCCGCATGCCCTTTCAAAGCAGGGAACTGGAACTTGTAAAGTCAAATTATTAGCAAAGGTCAGAAGATGTAGAACATTTTGTAAGATGCCCGACAGAATCAATCTGCAGCTTTTCAAGAAAATTTCAGAGGATTGATGCAGAAAAAACCTGCCGGGTGACGATGTTGCGATCGGCGCCGGGGTAAATTGGAAATATGTTCAATTTCAGGGGGAAACACTCGTCGCGGTTGCTCAAAGCTCTCACAGATGTCGAACACTCTGCTAAGTGCACATCAGCTGACGCTATGACGGAGCAAACACTGAAGCTTTGAATCTGATATTAATCAGATCAGGCTCTGCTTTCATCAAGGCTCTCCTAATATGCGCTGAACATTTGATTACAGCTATGAAAAAAAAAAAAAAAAAGACACTGTTGGATGAAGCTTTGACACACACACAAACTCTCCGGAAGACTAAAAGCTCTCCTTTGAGACTAAATAGCATCACTCACTGTTTAATGATGGTAAAATAACATGAAATTACCCACAACCCACCCCAAAAATAAAACAAATCTTTTCATTCTATGAATCGGAGTTAAATATGCTTGACAAATCCAGACTCCAGACCCTGGGTATTAAATTGCATGTATTCATCAGATTGCTCGTGTCATGGAGTTGTGTCCTGGAAGATTCTTCCAAAAATCACATTTAAATAAGACTGAGACCTCGAGTTTGAGGGCGATGGATGTTAATATTTATCAGTAGCGCAGACGGCAAATGAAGAGGCAAATGTCAAATGAAAGCTAAATAATGTATTAATACATTAGGGATATTTTCAGTACCGGGCTTTTTTTTTTGGGGGGGGGGGGGGCTTGTTGTTATTTGCATGCATAAATTGGGCCGAAAGTGTGCAATTGAAATTGATCCTTTTGGCTCACTGTTTATTTTTTTAGTTACCCGTTTCCCTTGAAATTTTTAAAGGTCTATAATAGATCTGTAAAAAATGTCCATCAAGACCTAAATGAGACATTGCGCACAACAAAGACGCGCGCGAATCCCGATGATGCAAAAATGTCCAAAGGACGGCAAGAACGGAGTGAAAAGGAGGATGAGCTGCAGGAGCCATGATGGCCAACCTGCCGTTCTTCATCTCTGCTGTTTTTTAACAAAGGCTTTTCTCTCCATCTTCCCTCCCTCCCTCCCTCCTTCCCTCCCAGCCTGAGGGGCTGCTCGCGGCCCCCCAGACGCTTACAGACAGATGTCCTTGGTAGAGCAGAACACGCTCTGCTTGACGTCACGCGCGTGCAGCCACGGGGCTGTGAAGGAAGCTACGGGGCTCTCTGCCCTGCAAAGACCACGGCATAAAAGCCAGACTTTTGAGTTGGTCTGTTTCTCCTCCCCGCTCCCTTTAGAAAAGCTCTGGTCCAACAGCACACAGCAGGGAGCCTCTCAGTGTATATATAGACTTAACATATGCCACTTTTATTCGTGAATGCTTTCTCCCCCCTCCCCCCACCCTAAAGAGTCGGGGTAGAGCGCATACATTTTAAACAAGGGTGTCTGTCTTAAGCTTCAATCTAATCTCCGATCACGGCTGTAACCTTTTGCACTGCAAGGCTATAGGTCGATCTACCGTGTATAATGCAAAGAGTTAATTGGAGTATGTTGACAAGAATGAAGCTGAATCTTAATGAACACCTAAAAACATTTAAAAAGAACCGGTTATGGTCGATGGCATGGTGAGGCTCCTCAAGAGACATATCGTACTTGTATATTATATAAACCATCCTATATTTTGTTAAAGGTGCTGGTGTAGATGTTAGTTAAATGTATTAAAACTGGGTTGATACACAATACTGCTATGTAAATGTGTTTGTGTTAAAAATGGTCAAAAAATAACCAAAAAAACGTTGCTTCATTTGTTCTTGGAAACAAAACTGTCTTAATAAAGTGAAACTGCACCATGATTTTAGTTTGATACACAGCCTCAAACTAACTGGTCTATATACAGTGGGTACGGAAAGTATTCAGACCCCTTTAAATGTTTCACTCTGTTTCATTGCAGCCATTTGCTAAAATCAAAAAAGTTCATTTTATTTCTCATTAATGTACACTCAGCACCCCATCTTGACAGAAAAAAACAGAAATGTAGAAATTTCTGCAAATTTATTAAAAAAGAAAAACTGAAATATCACATGGTCATAAGTATTCAGACCCTTTGCTCAGTATTGAGTAGAAGCACCCTTTTGAGCTAGTACAGCCATGAGTCTTCTTGGGAATGATGCAACAAGTTTTTCACACCTGGATTTGGGGATCCTCTGCCATTCTTCCTTGCAGATCCTCTCCAGTTCCGTCAGGTTGGATGGTGAACGTTGGTGGACAGCCATTTTCAGGTCTCTCCAGAGATGCTGAATTGGGTTTAGGTCAGGGCTCTGGCTGGGCCAGTCAAGAATGGTCACAGAGTTGTTCCGAAGCCACTCCTTTGTTATTT